TTTAAAATGTGTTTTAAATATACGAATTCCCATATTTGTATGTTTGTTTAGTCAGGTGTTACTGTTTGAAGGTGTGCAGGTAGTTCCCTCCATAAAGGTACCCAGACAAGGGAGCTCAGGTGCAGGCTGGCTGTGCACACTGCTAGGGCTGTGGGACCTGAAGGAAGGGGCACCTTGTTCTACTTCAAACAAAGCACCATATGCCCTAGTAGCAGTCTTCCATTCTATATACCGTGATCTGTCCTTTTCAAGTGGTGCAGTGGTGCCATGCACCTAAAGAGAAGCGGCAACATTGTATTATTTCCTGTGTCAATTACAGATGCTTATTCCCCTCCCCCAAAATAAGCAAGTAAGTTAATAACCCAACAAATGTGAGATGTAGAGAAATTAGTACATTTTAGAGAGGATATTTTCAGTTTCTGTCCTCACCTGTGAATACAGAAAGCTACCACCAAAAGCAATAATCACGGTGGAGGGGTGGGGGGAAGAAAGAAAGAAACAAACAAACGAACAAAGAAACAAAGAAAAAGCAGCGTTTTTAGGTACTCACGGAGATGGAACAGAAAGACCTCTATGGTGCTGTGCTCTGAGAAGCCTGAAATGTTTGGAAAACCACCCAAACATCTTCCCCACTGCCTTGCTGAAGGTCATGAAGGGTTAAGACATGCATTCTCAATGGAGGTAATATTCCCTTCAGGTGTGCAGGGGATTGGTTCTTAGGGAAAAATTCTTGCTCTGTTTGTGTATGGCTGTATAGAAATTCTGTAGAGACAGACTGCCTATCTGTAGTAGTAAAATTTCATAGGTGAGATGATTAGCAAAAAAAAAAAAAAGTCTAAAGGTTCCTGGGTCGGGGGAACACAATGAAGAAAAACAGGTTGAGAAGCACTTGATTAGGCATTTTCCTCAGAAAAGCCCTGTCAAGGCTATGTTGGCCAGAACAACATAGAATTAAATGATGGATCAACAATTACTGAGCAAACAATATGTGCGGAGTTCTACATTAGCTACTATAAGAGAACCCAAGTGATAAAAAATTTGGTCTCTCATTTTTAACGTCTCTTATTTTTAAGATTGGTTGAATTGAGAGAATCTAGCACCCAATAAATAGATGTTGATGTGGGTATCAATATGCGAATATATAAAGAACTATTTAGTGAATAAGACCTACTATTTAATAGCACATCATTGACTATTTAATAGCACCCTATTGACTATAGGGTGACTATAGTCAATAATAACTTTTTTTTTTTTTTTGAGACAGAGTCTTGCTCTGTCCCTCAGGCTGGAGTGCAGTGGTGTGATCTCGGCTCACTGCAACCTCCGCTTCCCAGGTTCAAGCAATTCTCCTGCCTCAGCCTCCTAAGTAGCTGGGACTACAGGTGTGTACCACCACATCTGGCTAATTTTTGTATTTTTAGTAGAAACAGGGTTTCACCATATTGGCCAGGCTGGTCTCAAACTCCTGACCTCAAGTGATACACCTGCCTTGGTCTCCCGAAGTGCTGAGATTACAGGCGTGAGCCATCATGCCCGGCCAATAATATCTTAATTGTATATTTTAAAATAAGGAATGTCACTGGACTATTTGTAACTCAAGAGATAAATGCTTGAGGGAATGGATGCTCCATTCTCTATGATGTGCTTATTTCATATTGCATGCCTGTATCAAAACACCTCATATATCCAATAAATACATACATACACTACTATGTAACCACAAAAATTTGAAAAAATACAAAACATGTAAAAATATATTTAAAAATGATTTAAGGCCGGGCGCGGTGGCTCAAGCCTGTAATCCCAGCACTTTGGGAGGCCGAGACGGGTGGATCACGAGGTCAGGAGATCGAGACCATCCTGGCTAACACGGTGAAACCCCGTCTCTACTAAAAAAAAAATACAAAAAACTAGCCGGGCGTGGTGGCGGGCGCCTGTAGTCCCAGCTACTCGGGAGGCTGAGGCAGGAGAATGGCGTAAACCCGGGAGGCGGAGCTTGCTGTGAGCTGAGATCCGGCCACTGCACTCCAGCCTGGGCGACAGAGCGAGACTCCGTCTCAAAAAAAAAAAAAAAAAAAAAAAGATTTAAAATATTTTTAATAATACTAAACTATTTATGAAAAGGGATAAATAATGGTACAAACAATAAGATCAAGGACAGCTCAAAGGACAGAAAGATTAGGGTAGTGATCAGAGAGGGTTTATATAGCAAATGGGATTTGAACTAGACTTTAAAAGATGGGAGGACTTAAGAAACGGGAAAGCCCCAAACAAGACTGAGAACTCCCATGAAAACACAGAGTAAGACGCTCAAGCTCAGAAGGAAAGTCTCAGGGATTCTAGGAGTGAGGTTAGAGACCTGTGCCAAGTTTTGGCGAGTTTGAAGATTGTGTTGAAAAACTTTGTCCCACCTACATTAAAATTTTTTATTATAGCAATTCTAGTGCATATAAAGTGGAACCCCATTGTGGTTCTTTTATTTTACTTTTTTATTTAGTAAAATATATGTAATATAAAATTTGCCATTTTAACCATTAAGTAAGTGGCTTTAAGTACATTCACATTATTGTGCAACTATCACTACTATGCGTGTATAGAACTTTTCCATCATCCCGTACTGAACTTTATACACATTAAAAAACTCCCTACTCCTCCCTTTCCCTAAATCCTAGGAATCACTGTTCTACTTTCTGACTTGGTGTATTTGACTATTCCAGGTACCTGTCTTAGTCCATTTTCTGTTGCTTATAGCAGAATACCTGAAGCTGGGTAATTTATAAAGAAAAGGGACCGGGCGCGGTGGCCCACGCCTGTAATCCCAGCCCTTTGGGAGGCCAAGGCGGGCAGATCATGAGGTCAGGAGATCGAGACCATCCTGGCTAACATGGTGAAACCCCGTCTCTACTAAAAATACAAAAAACTAGCCGGGCGAGGTGGCGGCACCTGTAGTCCCAGCTACTCGGGAGGCTGAGGCGGGAGAATGGCGTGAACCCGGGAGGCGGAGCTTGCAGTGAGCAGAGATTGTACCAAGGCACTCTAGCCTGGGCGACAAAGCGAGACTCTGTCTCAAAAAAAAAAAAAAAAAAAAAAAAAAAGAAAGAAAGAAAGAAAAAGAAAAGGAATTTATTTCTACAGCTATGGAGGCTGAGAAATCCAAGGTTGAGGGGCTACATCCGGTAAGGGCCTTCTTGCTGGTGGGGACTCTCTGCTAAGTCCTGAGGTGGAGTAGGACGTTACATGGTAAGTGGACTGAGTGTGCTAGCTCAGTGCTAGCTCAGGTCTCTCTTCCTCTTATAAAGCTACCAGTCTCACTCCCATGATAACTCATTAATTCATTAATCCATGAATGGACTAATCTCTTTATGAGGGCCGAGTCCTCATGATCCAATGACCTCTTAAAGACTCCACCTCTCAATACTACCTATTGGGGATTAGATTTCAACGTGAGTTTTGGAGGGGACAAACATTCAAACCATAGCAGTATTTCATATAAGTGAAATCATACAATATGTGGTCTTTTGTGTGTGGCTTGTTTCACTTAGCATAGTGTTTTCAAGGTTCATCCATGTTGCAGCATGTATAGGAATTTCATTCCTGTTCAGGTTATGAAGAAAGGACTTCTTCTTCTCACTTTCTTGATCATTGGAGCTAAGAAATTAAAAATTCAAGCATCCTTTTGAAGACCTTAGAGCACTATAACCATGAGAAGGCTGGATGACCCAAGGTTGAGAAATAGCCCCCACTGAAAAGACCCTCCAAATAAGGGTAGATAAAAATCCCCTCCAGGACAGGATGGGTAGAGAGTGGTACAGAAAGCATGCCAGACCAGCAATCTGCATCCTGGGCCTCAGCTGGGAAGGTGTTCCCAGGAGAACTTCAGGGTGGCAGCTACTGCAGTGACTGAGGAAGATCAAATACTGGCGGTTACAGCAAAAGGAGGGAACTGTATTCCAGGAAATAAAATCTGTGAGTGACTTGGTGTCAAGTACTATTGTTATTTTGACCCTCAGGGCGTAAGGGAAAAGAAAGAAGCATGCAGAAGGCTTGGTCTAGCTCAGGGCTGCAAGATGGAGAGGAAAAAGGCTGAAAGGTAAGAAAATAAAGTGGTTATTGTGACATATGACAGAAGGAGAAGAGGCAATAGGACATATTATTACTTCTGTAGGTTTATCAGTTAGCTCTTGGTGCATAACAAACCACCCCAAAATGTAGTGGCTTAAATGAAAATTTAGTGGCTTAATGAATCTGTGAGTTGGCTGGAAGATTCTTTTCATCTGAGACAGGCTTGGCTGATCCAAGCTGAGCCATCTGTTAGGTCAGCTAGAGGCTGGCTGGTCTAGGATGACCTCATTTGAGATGACTTGAGTCCTCATAAGGTCTCTCTTCTGCAGCAGGCTGGCCAGAGCTGGCTCTCATGCTGACAGTAGAAGTCCAGGAGAGCAATCAAAGACCTCCTGAAGCATGGGCTTCAAACCGATGCATCACGATTTCCGCTGTATTCTTTTGGCCGAAGAAAATCACAAGTCCTGTCTGGATTCAAAAAGTAGACTCTTCTTTTTTTTTGAGACGGATTCTCGCTGTGTCACCCAGACTGTAGTGCAGTGGCACGATCTCGGCTCACTGCAAGCTCTGCCATCCGGTTTCACACCATTCTCCTGCCTCAGCCTCCCCAGCAGCTGGGAGTATAAGCGCCCCCCCACCCCCACCGCGCCACGCCCGGCTAATTTTTTGTATTTTCAGTAGAGACAGGGTTTCACCGTGTTAGCCAGGATGGTCTCCATCTCCTGACCTCGTGATCTGCCTGCCTCGGCCTCCCAAAGTGCTGGGATTACAGGTGTGAGCCATCGTGCCTGGCCAACTCCACTTTTTGATGGGAGGAGCTGTAATTTTATGATACAAAGTCCATACAGAGAGCAGTGGAGAATTTGGGCCATTTTTGCAAGCTCTCTTACCACCAGAGGAGAAATGTAAAAGGGCTTCAAATGTATAAATTATGCATATAAGGGAAAAAATCCTGTTTCTTTATTTTCATAACCAATCATCTTCCTCATGAGACCCCATTACCCTAAGTATGAATCTGGGGTCAAGAAAGCTTAAAAGTTTAAGTGTCTTAGTCTTCCTATTATAAAATCACTTTGCAATAACTCTATCTCTTTTGAAAACTGCTTCCTTCAGATTCTTTCTCTCTTCCACTACTCCTCTCCATGGTGGCCTCTCATTGTCAGAGAGGTTCATGTGATATCATGGCAATGATGGAGTTGTAGCTGTGAATAATTATCCAAGTCCTAGCTGCTCTCTGCTGAGGTGTGGCTGGGCAGGTCCCTGATCCTTTTGCACTCAGGTGTGCTGAGGGATGCCTGGGGAACTTGCAGGTTATTCTCTTTATTGATTCACACGCAGTGGTCTTCTCTTGCTGACTCTGTTCCATCATGACTATAGCCATCGCTGAAATCCTCTATTGAGTGTCTATTAGTTTTTTCCTGCCCCTGAAAAAAAAATGAATTCTGTGAGTAGGTTCATATGAGTGTGGTCAACTAACCCCTCCCTACAACAGTCCCCACAACAAGACTACCAGCTCCCAATCAGCTATCCTTCACACTGTCCCATGAAGCATGCAGAAATTTCTGAGTACCTGCACATCACATGGGAACTGAGGAAGAGTAACAATAGCCCTCTCCTTAACCATTCATACCAACATCTCTACCTTTCTGGACCCTCCAGGTTCGAAAGAGGCTACTTTGCATGGTGGCCTCCGCATTCCAATTAGAATCACAGCAAAAGCCTCTTTCTTCTCAACCCAGCCCACATCCCTATATCTGCAAATTTCAGCCCAGAGTTGGAAGCTATGACCTATGCCTCTCTTACTTTGCTTCTTCCTCTACATCACTTTCCTTCTTTTGTCTACTTTTCCCATGTGGAAGGTGGGGGGCAGAAAAGCCAGGCTTTCTCTCAATTTTTTAAGTGGCAGAAGTTTTCCCTACATCATATCTGACTCCTTCAGTGTCTCCTACTGATCAAAATTTCACTGTAAGTTCCACCCAACCCCCCTGAAGGGTGAGAAAGGTTAAATTTGTCTGGTGACATGATTTCATTCTCTTCAGCTTTAAATAGTTCCCGTTTTAAGTAATTTGGTCTATTTCAGGTTTATGGCTCAAACTTTGAGATTTTCCCCCTTCCTCCTGCTGCACCCCAGGATAACATCTGGGAGTATGGGGCAAGGCTGGGGAGGATTTACGTGATCTAAGGGCAATAAAGGAGATAGGGTCTCAGATTCACATACTAGTCTAAGCTGCAAAAGTGGCTGGACAAGTCCTGTGCCCTTTGTTAACTGAAAGATGTCTGCTAAGCCTGCAACTTTGTCATTGAAATAAATCACAGATTTTTTTCACACTACAGGTATCAATGCTGTCTCTTTATATCATCAGCATGTTGGAAGCATGGTAGTTATTATACCTGCCACTAGATCTTGTAATTTAATGCATTAATAAAGAAGAACACACATTACTGTATCACAGATTTGCGTTTTAAGATACTTTGTTAACCGTGTTTCAAAATAATCTGTTTTCATTGTAATCTTTTGGCTTTTATTTCATACATTTAAAAACACTGTTCTAAAAAAAGAGTTCATAGGCTCCACCAGACTGCTCCAAGGATCCATAATGATTCATAAAGGTAAAGAACCCTTGCCGGAGGACCTGAGGGTTTTCCACTGGATTGGAAAGATTCAGGAGGATTAAACACAGAGGGTTTTAATGACCCAGATGAAAGTAATGAGTCCATCAGTTGTGCCACATTCTATTGGCTGGAACTTAGTCATGTGGCTGCCAACTGACTGTAAGGGAATCTAAGAAATGTAGTCTGGGTGTCTTTCAGGAAAAAGCAAGTTTGGTGAGCTTCTAGCCAGCTCTGACTCAGGGGCAAAACACTCTGTTTGTGGTTTCCCCCTCATTCCTAATTTCTACTCCAGAACTTTAGTACAAAGGAGAATCTGGCCACTTGCCTTCCTGCTACTGATTTGCTCCTTCTCTTCCTCATACTCCCAGAAGGAATTGCATCTTCCTTTGACTTTTGTCTCAACTTGAACTCCGCCACATCTTATCTCTCTTCTACTCTGGGGCAGATTTCCAAAGCCTCCCTATTAGAGGCAGAAGGTAAATCTTTCTTGTACTATGGAGAAAACTCTATGATAGAAGTTGACCCGACTTGGCTCTGGATATGAGAGCTGTGGGACAATTAGCAATTAGATATTACCAAAGATAAAATACATAAGTTTAATTTCCCCCTCCCCCAAATAGCATCCCTGTTACAAAAATAAGACGAAGGGGCAGTTAAGATTGATTGAAAAGTTTTCTACCTTTGTGACTAGGAGAATTTTTGAGCTTCTTAAAGAAGGAAGTCTGAAGCATGGTAAGTTCCATCCTAACTGAGTTGGAGGTGATTACGGAGTAAATTTAAATGTCCACCTGAAGATGTATAACTGGAATTCAGGAGAGAGGTCTGAAAAAGAGAAGTGGGGTCTGAGATATGTACTTAAGTAGGTTCATATGCAGGCAGTCTCAGCACTAAATGAGTTATTCAGAATAGGACACTGACAGGCTCCATGTGACAGGTTCCAAATTCTGTCCTGGGGTAGAAGAAAGATATTACACAAAAAAGAAGCAATCAGAAGAGTAAGAGAAGAGCTACCAGACAGTAACTTGAGTAACAAAGATGACAAAGGGGTCACGCTGTTATCATCTTTGCATTCATCAAACGTATGTAAGTACTTATCGTTATAGTAGATGCTCAATAGTGTGTTAAGAAGGATAAAAGGAAAGAGGGAGGAAAGCAGGAAATAAAGAGGGAAACTGGATCAAGATGGGATTATGCTATGGAAGCCAGATATGGTGGGCAGAATACGGCCTCCCAAAGGTGTCAATGTTCTAGTTCTGTAAATAAGTTACCGAATATGGCAAAAGGGACTGTGCAGAGGTGATTAAGGAAGATTACAACCTGGAGGTGAGATGATTATCCTGAATTATTTGAGTGGGATTAATCTCATCATATGACCCTTAAAAGCAGAAGAGTAGCTCAGAGAACTGTGATGTGAGAAGGTATCCATTCACTGTTGCAGACTTTAAAGGTGGAGGAAGGGAACCATGAGCTAGGGAACACAGCGGCCTGTAGAACCTGGGATCAGCAGTCAGACAGTCAGCAAGAAAACCAGGATCTCAGCTCTACAACTGCAAGGAACCAAATTTTATCAACAACCCCACAAACAGGAAATAATTCTCCCTTAGAGCCTCCAGAAGGAACACAGCCTGCCAGCACCTTGATTTTGGGCTGGTGAGGCCCATACCAGACTTGTGACCCACAGAACTGTAAGATAATAAATTGTGTTATTTTATGGCACTAAATTTGTGGCAATATGTTATCAGGAGAAGTCAGTAAAATATAGATTATGGCAAGGCAAGGTACACAAAACTCTTGTCACTTTGTCAGTTTTAGGTTAATAGCTCATAAAGGTGATGAGTGCCCTTATGAATGCAAGATACATAAATGAAAAAGCTCTAGTGTATAGGACAATTCTCCAGGGAGAAAGAGCCTGTGGGAAACCTTAAATATCCATAAAAGTCTTAGGAACCTACAGGAAGGAAAAAAGACATATTTAAAGATAGAAGTCAATTTAGATAAATTTCACCTATTTTGCAATTTTTCTCAAGGTTGAACATGGTAATAAACAGTACTCCACAACCTGTACTCTTATGCTAAGTATTTTTTTGTTTTGTTTTGTTGCCATTTGTGATTATTTCCTGGTAGAAATGAAGATTATGAAAAGGAGAAAAACTCAGTTACTAAATTTATATTTTATAGACTGTGATGAATTATCAATAATAAAGAAGCACAAAAGATGAGAGAAGTAGATTCATTTGTAATTCCATCTTGAAGTGTAATATGCTGTTATCAGATAACAAAACATACCTGCGTAAACTTAGAAAGTTACTTAATTTCTCTGGCCCTCAGTTTATTCATTTTTAAACTCGGATATAAAAGCTTTCCTGCCTACAGACAAAGAACTGTACCAAGGTATTTCTTGAAGCCGTTTCCAGATCTAAAATCTATGATTCAGGACTACTTACTTCTCCACACCCCCAACACACACATCCACCAGTATCCTTATTTCAGACCATCATACTCTGAGGTTAGGGAACGATCAAGTCAGAATTGTAATCTAATATATTTAATCAAAAGCTGTCTAGATGCCTGAAGAATAGACTTCAGGGCTTGCAAACAGGGTATATCTGAAGCATTATCTCCCATCAGTTGATTAAGGCTGACTTGAGTACTGTGGTAAGAACGATTCTGAGGCCAATTCCAGGCTGAGTAAATCTTGTGCTTTAATCTTGCAATTCAAGTGGGATGACCATTAGAGGTGAAGGAAGGCAAGGTATGGCTAAGTGAACTGCATATTGACCATCTCTGCAATGTGGGTTAAGGGTGATTAGGAAGCGTAAAGATCTACCATTGACGTTGCTTGCTGTTTCCTGGAGGATACAGTATTTGAACTGATCCTTGAAATGGATATACAAGATTTTGGTAGCAGAGGAGAAGGAAGAAGGCTGTCTCAAAGTTCATCCACCTCACCTCTAGTTGCTTTCATGTACACCAAGCCTTCTTTGCAACTAGGATTTTGCAATGCCTTGTATCCAGTGTAGCAAATGGCCTTGTATCCAATGTAGAAAATAGAAGTGAGAGGCCATTTTCATACACCTTTTTGCTTTTACTGACAGTGACAGGGTATGGAAATATAAATTTTTGTGTTTTTTCCCCAATCACATTCTAGCGTTTTGTTGTTGTTGTTGTTTGTTTGTTTTTTGTTTTTCTCCAGCTCCTTTGGTTGAGAGGCAATTATAGCAGCAGTAATGGCAGCAGCTTCTGATCCTGGGGTTGTTGCTATAGCAGTGGGTTCTGAATTCAGTCTTTCTGGTAGCACCCTTCCTGGTGCTCTAGGAGTTGTCCCTAGAGGCCCAGCTTAGACCCTTCCTCCAGCTCTTCTGACACTTTGTAAGCACCCAGTCACTGGCATTCAATTCCTTGCCTAAAACATTTAGAATGACTTCTGCTTTTGACACTGAACTCAGAGATAGGTAAGAGAATGAATAGTCAATGAGGTAGACCTGGAAAAGTGTTTGATATGATCAGGCAACAGGGAGAAAATCAGCTTGGCTGAAGAAATGAGATTGATTTGGAAGCTAAAAAAGATGGAGATATACTAGATTGTTAGGGTTGGAGCAGATTCTGGAAGCCTTTTGTGCCACGATGTGAAGTTCAGACTTGACCTCATAGGGAGTAGCTATCATTGTGATAGGTGACTGGAGGGGAGCTTGGAGAGCTTGAAAGTGGAAAGACCAGTTGGAGGCTATTGCAATAGAGGGGATGAGATGAGCTGAGTGGTAGTCAGGCTGGGAGTGAAAAGGGTGAATTCCAAGGTCTAAGGAAAGACTGAAAATTGTGCCTAAAATATAAATGATGCAACATTCCTGACCTCAAAAGCCCATTTCATAAACATACTAGTTGTCCACAAAATATATATGGCTGTCAATAGGCCAATCAAGATAGACATATGTGTAATTCCAGGTGTTATAATTTGATTCAATTACAGTGAAAATTTGTACTCCTCTCATTTGGTTTCTTCCTTTTGCAGATGGGTGGGGGAAAATTTGATAAAACAATATTAGTTAAAGTCAGATAAGCTGGTTCTGATCCATCTCCCAGCTCCATCCACTGATACTGCTCTTTTACTGCTGAGTCATGGCAGAACACATCGAGGGAAAATAATGATCCCTGTGACTTCTCCAGGCAGTGTAAATGTAGCAGAAGAAGGGCCAAGAGTGAAGAACTGTCCCCTAAGAACTACTACTTCCTTTTTTTTTTTTTTTTTTTTTTTGAGACGGAGTCTTGCTCTGTCGCCCAGGCTGGAATGCAGTGGCCTGATCTCCACTCACTGCAAGCTCCGCCTCCCGGGTTCACGCCATTTTCCTGCCTCAGCCTCCCCAGTGGCTGGGACTACAGGCACCCGCCACCGCACCCAGCTAATTTTTGTAGTTTTAGTAGAGATGGGGTTTTACCATGTTAGCCAGGATGGTCTCGATCTCCTGACCTCGTGATCCGCCAGTCTCGGCCTCCCAAAGTGCTGGGATTACAGGCGTGAACCACCACACCCAGCCAGAACTACCACTTTCAAACCACCAAAGTTTCTGCTCTAGTTCCCAGACCAGTCAAGGTCTCTTGAATCATAGGAACTGCTCCGCTTTATTGAATGTCTACTGTGCCTAAGCATTAAGCTGAGTGTTTTATATCTGTTATCTCATTTTACCCTCATGATAATCTTTATGATACATATTCTCTTCATACAAATGAGAATGAGAAAACAAACCGAAGCTCAAAAAGTTTGCAAAATTTTAACTAATTCATACAATTAATTTATTTCATCACCTTAAAATTGGAACTCAGGGTGAATTATATGATTTAGAAAAAGGTAGTCAGTTCATCCTCTCCTCCAAGACAACACTGAGTCTCCCAAGTCTAGGATGTCATTGGTAAGGCATTATCTTTGTGAGCTATTTTAGAAAAATATATGAAGAAAATACAGATGCTTTTCAATGATCAAGATTTCTACAGTTCTAAAACTGTTTCTGTGTCATCCTTTGATCACAACATTTCCTGATTAATGATTCAAAGTTATGTGATTTTTCTCAGACCAAATCAATTCCATTTAAGATGGAGACTTTAAATAATTCCAGATTACTTGTCTCCCAAAACTTTCACAAAACCTAGAAGAACTGATTATCAATAATAGCCATGATAATCATGAAATGGAAACTAGAAAAAGTGGTATTCTTGTGGAATTTTCTCACATAACTGCCCTTTCAAGACAGTGATTAATGACTATAAATCTTCACATCCAACTTTTTTAGGCTTAAAAATATCAAGGAAGTTAAGAAAAGTTCAGCCACTGCCTAGTTCTGCAATATTGTCTAAGTCACTCCCTTTCATTATCCTACTGGAAAAAAAAAAAAAAAGTAAGTTTCACTGGATCCCAGGAGTGTTGGGCAGACTAATTAATAGCTATAAAATGCTTTCAATTGCAGAATGCTATATCTGTATGTGCTAACGTTTTTTCAGTAATCATGTTAATACCCTATTCATTTCACTGGTAATTGTATAGCACCATCGTAAGGTAATGATGTACACCATGCAAAAGTCAGGTGAGATGATCTAATGATGTCAAGATGAAATGCTGTCAGTGTATATCTAAAAAGATAGTATAACACTGTCAAAAATGAAAGGAAATTATGGTATTGTAAGTTCTACTACCATTAAAAGATGTAAGAAAGAAAGGGTTCCACAATCTGGGGCAATGTCTGTTATGACAGATCTGCTCAAGCAACTTAAAAGACAAACTGGCATTCTTCATCTAATTTTCTTTATCCGAAGAGTCTTTATTAAAATTTTCT